GTTTAAAATATTGCAGAAATGCATTTTTTTTAATACAGCGGTAGCTGTTTATTGAAGCTGTTGACATGTTTGACAGCTTCATAACAGATTGATATTTATCTATTATTATATGGAGGCTTTAGTTGTAAAAAATAGTTGAATATAATGAGTGTCTTTTATATTTCATTTTTAAGTACTCAGTAATCTTAAACATTTAAGAAAATATTCTCTGTAATCTAATGTTTTATTGAATTTTAGATACCTTCCGGCTTTAAATTTACTATAGTTATTGCTCTTATATTCTGATAATGTCATGTGTGGATGATCATATCTACAAAAATCAGCATGTTTATACACATACAAAAAAAAATTCAAAATTCTTTTTAAAATATTGTTGTTTGAAGATTTGTACTAAGTTTTTCCATTTATCATTATTATGTATAATTTTTACTTAATTCTATTGTCTAAAAGGGAGAAATTAATATAGAATTTTAAAAGATTTAACACTTAATAAATATTTGTAATTAAAATTTAAACAAAACAATTTTTGTAAAAATTCATTATTCATCAAAAAGGTTTTTTTCAAGACAATAGTGTCCTTAATATATCTTATTTATAAAAGCAATTAAAACCTTTTTTATTTAATGTTATAGTTTTATTGTATTTTTTATTTTATGATTTAGAGCAGGTTTTCATTAAATGGGTTTTCTGTTTAAAAAAAAAAAAAAAAAAAAAAACAAATTGATAATTTAAATTCTCCATGAATTCGTTCTTTTAACAAAAAAAAAAAAAAGGAAAAAAAAAGGTTTCCATCATTTGTGAATAAGTTCTGAAAATTTCATTAAAACTCAGCAATTGACAATTATTTGATTTTTGCAAGAATTTAAAAAACAATGTATTTTTTCTTAAAAAAATATGCTAAATTTCCCATACTAATCTTTGGTCGATCCACTGATGCAAGAAAACCAGATTTTTAACTAAAATTTCAAACATGTTAGAAAGGATTAAAAAAATTAATAAAATAATAAGAAATAATAATAGCATAAACATTTTGATGATAAAAATTAGTTTTTATCAAGTTTGGGGCTTTTTTTTCATCATGGTATGCTCTTTTTAACTAGATTAATGAATTTTACTGTTTGCTTATATAATCAATGTATTATTGTCTAAAATAATAGATTAACTATAATAATGCATTTTATATCTTCTAGCTGCAAATAAAATTCTGCCAAAAAGTTATATTATTTATGGAAAGTATATTAATGATAATGTATATTTTGCTAATGTTCAGAAATAGGCTTTATTTTTTTTCACTAAAAGATAATTTTTTTTTTCATTAACGTATAAATTTTGCTTTCTCCCTAGCAGCACAACTTTTGCTTTCTCCCTAAAGTATTTTTTAAACTGATTACCATAATTTAATTTTGAACGATATTGAATAATGTAGTTTGTAGATATCATTCTATCTTCACCTGAACAAACATGCAAAATAATTAGTATAAGATATTACAATAAATAAAATACATTTGTTATTAACATTTTTTATGCCAACATTATTGTTACATTTAAATTTTAGTTTCTATTAAAATTTGAAATATATCCACAAAATTTGTTTTCTTATTGACAGTTTTTTTTAATTCAAAAATAGTAAAAAATTTTTTCATGTAGCATTTTGGAGTTTTTAATGATTTTTTTTTTTTAGTTACGATAGGAATTGTTTATTTTTCAATCTATGCTGTTGAATAATAGTCGTAGAAAAGCAAATGAAATGAAGCTGAAAGAGATCATTATCAAAAATTAAATGCTTTTGTTACAATTACTTTAGATCTAGAATATATTTTCATATGCAGTTATTATCCTAATAAACCACTTTAACATTTATTCAACATAAAGAAAATATTAATACATAAAACAATGCAACAAAATCTTATAACATTAAAAGTTATTAATCCAGTTGTTCTGTGAAGTACTAGGTTTAAATGTTTCCATTAATCCATATATTTTTTGGATTACTGTCTTTGTTGTTTTTAATACTATATATTTGCTTTCACTATTGTTATTACACCTGAGGAAAATCAAAGGATATACCAACCAAAATATGGTGTTAAAAACATCACCACCAATAATAATGACATGTAAAATAACAAAGATATTCTAGGTCTTTGAGATCCGAACTGATTACATCATTTAAACAAGACTGGGTCTGGTAATTGTGAACAAGAGGAAAAATGTATCAAATTGTAGATGTGGTTGTACCAGCAATGTACATGTTAAAGATGAAAGAGAATAAAATATTTGGAAAATACCAGGACTTCGCATGGGAACTGAAAAGGCTATGAAACATGAGGGTTGGGGCTTTGCTCATGATAATTGTTACATGAGGGATTTTGCCAGAATCATGAGAATTAACCATCCAGACCATGGCAACGTTGCAGCCTGTGAAGATTGTTTGTAATCAACCAACAGCAATAACTACAAAACCGTCCAGTGGAAGCATGCAAATGCAAGAAGAAAAAAGTAATAATAATACCAATGGCAACACTGACTACTTCTTTCCTAGTTTTCACATAACTAGTGTATAGTAAATTTATGTCATTCCTAAATTAAAAAAAAGAAAAAAGAAACTGTATAAACTCTACTAGAATAGACAATGTTTCTATTAAGATATTCATTTTTCTTTTGCAATGTTAATTACAGCTAATCTGTATATCTTAATTTGTCTATTTATTTAAAAGAGAATATTAATTTCTAACTACATTGTTGTTTTTTTTTTTTTTTAAATCATTTCACCCCAAGCAAGACGATAAAGACACTAAGACACAAGGCGGTTACTGAGTGTGAATGAAATTGTGAAAAACTTTATTGAGAGAGACAACAGTAAAAAAATAGGATTCAAAGAGACAGATGATGACGACGATTGATATCACATGCAAATATTTGAAAATTGTAGTTGCCAGGAAAGCAAGAAGTTGGAAGAGTTCCACAAGTGAGTGGAAACTGTTAGTATAGAACTTATAATTACAACTGACCATTTGAACAGTACAATAATGAAACGTAGCTACCAATCTAGTATTGCATTTAAATTTGTGACAATAAGGTAGCAAAGACAAAAGAAAATGCACAGGGGAGCTATATTATGGTGGTAGGAAATTGACTGACATTGGGATGCAAGGTCTGGATCAATAACATGCAAGAGTCTCTAGGTACATAAGCAGAAGCACCAGTCCACATATGGCAGCAATATTCAGTGCAAAGGTATTTACTAAAAGCAGTATATCCTTGGTTAGCAACAGATAAATTTATTTAAATTTTTTTTTTTTATGCTTAAAGAAGGAATAAAGCATTTTATCTAAATAGATAAGATTAATTGGGAAACTCCATGAGTGTTTTATGCAATCCATGCTATCACAAGTAGGATTTATTAATTAAATACATCAAAACTTTTGTTCCTTAATGATTACATGTGACATAGAAAAGACTAAAAAGCATAAGTAGGAAGGAAACTGATGTGAACATTTTGGTGGGAATAGAGTTAAGTGAATATTAAAAATTAAAAAGCTTGACTTTTATGTCCTTTGTAATGGATGTATGTGATGGTTTAATGGATAGAGGTTTGGAATGAGAAATTGGAGAGCCAAATTCCAGCTGGGTTTATTACATTCATTTGTGCACAAAACCCCTTGGGAATGTGGTGAATCCATCTCTTTACCCTCACAGATTGGGCCCTATAGCCTTGGTTGGCAACTAGTTTATGAGAAGGAAAACTCTGGAGAGGGTTGGGATCCGCCAGGCTATTTTGCTCTGGACACATGGCTACTATGGCTGCAGTACATGTGGTGCCCTTATGACTCTAATGGGTTATGGGGATCATAACCAATATTTTGCTATGAAACTGTAGAAAAAAAGTAGAAACTATACATTTTGACCCTTGTCACAGATAAATTTGTCACAGTCCATTTTTAGTGTGTGATGGTCTTCCTCCTAAAAAGTGTATATTGTTTACATGGCTATGAATGAATGAAAATCACCTCAATAACATTAGTATTTAAAAATAGAAGTTTGGGATTTAATCACTGAATTTGGCCATTTTTAATTTATGATTTTTTTAGCAAGTTTTTGGCACTCGGTCTGTGTGTTGTCATTGTGAGTCAAGAAGAAAGAAATTGTTACAAATTTCTGTCAGAATTTCCGGGATGAGGAGTTCAGTTAGACTAATATCCTCATCTTTGTTGTTACCACAACATTTCATCCATTGTGCCTGTCAGCTTTCTTTAAGTGTAGCTGTCAGGGAATTTCAAACTAATAATTCTGAGTTCAGGTTGTACAGACAGATTTTTAATGGAAACAGTAATGGCAATAACTGGGTGGTACTGTAAAAGAACAAGACAAGATACCCCTAGACATGGACAGCAGAATGAGAACAATCTACCCTTGTGGATTAAATAAAGGGTTCAATTGGAAATTCCCTGAAAGTTATCTGAATAAGACTATAGGGCACAACTGTCAAAATATTATGATAGTAACAACAAAGATGAAGATATTAGTTTGTAAGTAATGTAAATGAAAATTGCCAGTAGTTAGGAATTAAGGCAAGTGTTACTAAATGAATAGGGTAATTATGTTTATAATTCAATCCAATTGTGAAGAGCAGAAATCCTGATCTGTGGAATACTTTAAAAGTTACAAAATATTGGTTAAGATATTATATATTAAGTCAGGTCTATACATTAATATTTGTGTGCAAGAAATTTGACCATTTAAGAAGATTTTTCAATAAACTCTCAGCCTGTATCAATTTGGCTTTCATTATGTATACAATTCACCTACCTTATATAATAATTTTATAAAACCTTTTATTGACTTAACCTGGTGGCTTGATTATACTTTAAAATAAATCATTCTAAATGTTAAAAAAAGATAAAACAGGAACGTTTATCACATTTTTCTCCTATAATGAAAAGTGTTTTATGTGATTGCTTTAGTTCTTGATATAAAAAAACAAACTATGTTCTTTTCTTCAGCACTTCTCTGTTCAAACAGGAATCTAAAGTGAGACGATTCAGCTCAAGTAATATGTCATTAAATAATCTTAATGTAAGTATATTGAAGTTTTTTTTTTTATTATTTTTTTATTAGTTCAATGGTTACTCAATGCCAGAGACTGGAAGGCTTAAAACACTGACAAAACTGCTATCATTCAGTTTTCTGAAGTTGGTGACCATTTTTTACCATCTTTGTTCTGGTTTTAGTTATTTGTGAAAAACCAAAGCAGAATGGCTCATTATTTTTTTAAATTAATTTTATCTTGCTTGAAAACAGTTTTATTTTAAAACAAAGCTAATTACAGGTTTGTATCTGCTATGCGATCAAACATTATGTTTATTGACAATGGTAGGTATTAAATGATATTTTTTAATGTGGAAAGATCCAAAAGTCACTTATATCGGGTGTCCTTCAGCTATTTGTTGGAGAGGAGTTTTATTTTGAACAATCTGGAACATCTTATTTTCATTGCAATGCCAGGCTTTAATGAAATCTTGAGGCTGATGAAGAATTGGATGAAGGAGTTGAACACTCATTGCAGTCATCACTTGATTTTTCTCTTTCTGTTAAGGAAACCTTACATACAACATTTTTATGCTGCAAGAGCCAATGTATTGTACATTTAGAGTACAAAGAATTGTTGTACAAGAGATACTTTAGATAATGCTTGCAGCTTGTTCTAATCATGTTACCAATGTTTTGCCATGAAAAGAAGAAATTGGAAATAATTAAAGCATCATTTAAATATAACGAGCTTCTAACAAATTATTATTACTTCTTTATTATCAAAGTGTATAATTAACATTCAGATAATAATCATGATTAATAACAAGAAGTACATTTATTTTGACAAGATTGATGTGGATCTCTTTTGCCTTTCTCTCAAAATGTGGATGAAAGTTTAGAAGAGTTAATTTTAGTGAATACAATAAGTTTTGTGAAAAGTTTTCAGTGTACATGAGATCTGGTGGATTAGCAAAAACCAACTGTTGTTGAGTTGGAAATTGGGCTGCACACTGTTTGCCAGTGCTTCATGTTCTACAAATATCTGTAAAGAAAAGAAAATCCTTTTTAGACATTTAAAATTTTTATTTGATTACAAGAAAAAGCTTTCAGATAATTTCTATTACTTTTGTTTGTCATGATCTTAACCTTTTTTTTTTTCTTTAAGTTGTCTTTTGCTGTTTTCAGTCCAATTTAAAATTTCCTGACCGAATAAACCAGATCAAAAGAGAAGAGAGTCATTTGTCGGACAGAGAAACTGAACATGAAAGGTAAGATTGCTTATCAATTCATAATTCAGTGCTTATAGAATTAATCTTTTTTTATTACTTTGTAAATTGTAAATATTAGATATTTTGGAAATACTTTAGCTTTTAAAAAAAATTTATAAACATTGTGATGAACATTATTTTCAAACTTGATAGTCATAATGCAATTTTATTATTTCCATTCTTAAGGAAATTTGATTTTATAGATTAAGAAATAATTTTGATTTGATCTTTCTCATAAGTACTTTTATATGATGATGGTCGTGGAAAGAGGTAGAAAAAAAATATATTGGCATGACGACGGTCACCGAAAGACGTAGAAGGGACAGAGTATTGGCATGATGGCAGTTGCGGAAAGAGATAGAAGGAACACTGTATTGATATGACGATAGATTTCACATTCCCAAAGATATGTTAATAAAGTCATTTAAATAATGCAAGATATATATTTGTATGTTCTCCATTTAAGATAAATAATTATTGAACCCCTATGATAGTATATGTGCCTCTAAAAAGAGACAATAAAAAAAATAAATAAAAAAATAAGAAAGTTTAAAAAAAAAAATTGAAACAAATTTTAAAATAATTAAAATAAAAAATGAGAAAAATCCCAAATTGAGAAAAGGAACATCAGTAATATGCAGTTATCAATGACATAGGTAGTTTCAACATTTGTAGATAAAAAAAAGTACAGATAACTCTTTAAAAAGTCAGGAATCATTTTGACACTGTATTGATATTGTGAACATGATTCCACTTCTCAATAAGAAAAAAATTCAATTTTTTTTTTGATTCTGAAAAATGTTATAGGTAGAGAAAGGTCTGACAAATGCTAATCTGTAAATGAAGGTCTGACGAATGCTAATCTGTAAATGAAGGTCTGACAAATGCTAATCTGTAAATGAAGGTCTAACGAATGTTAATGTTTTGCAGAGCAAAATGTTTGTCTAACTACTGCAAGTGATTGATTCCTAAACTATTGAGTATTTAAACTTTTACAGTTTTAATTTTACATCCTACTGTGACAAAAAAAAATTGACAAAGAGTACTGCAATAAAAAATAATCCAGTGGAAAGAGAGGTAATATTAGTGAATCATACAGATTACTAAAGGTTAAGGAAGGCTGAAATATCAGAACAACAAAGATGAAGATCCTGGTGTAAATAATTAAAAATAATAATAATACTGCTCTGAGCATTAATAAGAGTCACTGATCACATCTACAGATTATTTATAACATTGTAGAGCTCATTATAACAAAGAAGACGAAATGATGGATTTTGGGATCATATCAGAGAATAATGTTTCGTTTAATAAAACCCTGTCTTGGCAATGGCATATAGTGTGGTTCAGTCCGAGATAGGGGGATTCAATAGAAAAATGATGTTGATTCTAAAAGTATTCATATTTACTGTTTTCATTTTGAATTTTTTTTTTATTTGAAAAGAAAATAGTTTTGTGTTCTATCAAAATGAGCAATTCTCATTCAGCGACAGTTGTGATTACTGCAAAAAACAACCAAAATATCAGTTTAGTTTCTGAAAATAAATGTCAACAAAGCCAAAAGCACCCAATGAGGGTTAAACTTACTAGAAATTTATTAGTAATGTAAGAGAAGTTTGCTAACCATCATGCCACTAGGCAGCCACTCTAAATTTTTAGTCAACAAAGGTATTTTGTAATTCATTTTAATGTCACATGAGTTTTTTATTTTGTAAAAAGAAAATTAAAAACATGATTTTTTAACAAAATCTTAGTAGGACAGATTTTAAAAAACAACTGAATGAAATTGTTACAATTAACACAAGATTTTTTTTTTCTCTTTTTAGTTGCATAACACCTGATTGGGTTAACAAATTTTGTGATAGCCAAAAGCAACTGTATTTCATTATCTTGATGTAGGTTTTAAGTAGCTTATTTATTGTTATAAGTACAAGTAGGTTATCATTTATTTATTGTAGAGCAGAGAAAAAAAAACATTCTGGTGACAAGATTTGAATTTGAACTCTAAAATTAAGTCTGGATGTATTTTCCTTTCAGAATCTTTTTAATCACACTCAACACAATCATAAGCCAAGCACTATCTTTATCTTACTAATTAACTACTAGTTATTTTTATTGTATATGCCAATATTAACATTAATTGCAAAAAAGGTCAGCAAGCACACACACACACACACACATATATATATATATATATATATATATATATATATATATATATATATATATATATATATATATAGAGAGAGAGAGAGAAAGAGTTTGTCTGATGATCACAAAAGGATCACAAACTCATATCCATACAACTTATATGCCTGAAAATCATACCACGGGTTGACCAAAATCTTGTGAGTGAAATTGGGTAGATGAAATACTTGGGGTCGTCGATAGCTGTGCTAACACAGTCACAATGACTTGTGACCGAGGGTTTGAGTGTACTGGTGTTGTTCAGATTGTTGATCATTCTAGATAATGCTCTCTCTCTCTCTCAGAAAAGTGTAACTAAGGTCTGGTCAAGCGTAGTTGCAGTATAAACTACAGGTGGGCTCTATGGGTGTTGAATAAACACAAATCTGGCTGAGCAAGAGTCTGCAATAGGGATTGGCTAGCTGGCCTAGTATCCTTGAATACAAGTGACCAGCTATTTTATATATATATATATATATATATATATATATATATATATATATATATATATGGTACAATGGGCAAATTGTCACCATTTTATATTTTTAATTTTGTTTATGCATGTTGTTCATTTTTGATTGTGTTGACTGAATAGTATAGTAGGTTTAGTTGGGCACTGTCTTTCAGAAAAAGAGCACCATGACAAATCATACCACCAAAAATTTAGAAATAGCATGCTGTACTGCTTGGTATTTGTATTGGAAGCTCCAATATGAACATTTCAGAGTGTTTGGGTGTCAGTCTGAGGAGAGTGCAGAGGATTTGGAAAGAGTTGGATGAATCTCATGGTGATTATGAAGGTATGCCAACTTGGAAAACTCACTCTGATCATACTGATAATTTGTTGGTGAGGGCCTCAGATTCAAAAGTGCCTTGATGAAGTAGTGCTGCCCTGGGTAAGATGGTAGTTGTTAGAAGATGCTATGTCTGGCAGCAGGACTCTGCACCATGCCACACAAGCAGGAGAACCCAGTTATGGTTGTCAAACAGTTTCTGCAACCACATCACCTCTTACATCTATTCACCTAACTCCCCAGACTGCAACCCTCTTGATTTAGGCAAGGATGTCATTAGTGTATCAAGACTTTTAAATTTGAGAACGTTCATGAATATCCATCAGGTGGTTAGTCAAGGCATGTGGAAGGCACAAAGTGTTATAATTCAAAATCTGGCAAAAAGTAAAGTGGGCGAGTAATATTCAAGATTTTTTTTTTTTTTTTTTTTTTAATAAATAAATATTGTTCACATTGTGATTAAATTGTTCTGGTTTGAGATGTATGTATGTATGTACTGTACATCTTCAAATACGCCCATCTCATATCATAACAATCTAATCACAATTTTAACAATAGTTTTTCCTCTTATCTCTTTTTATTCATTTTGTCTCCTCTACAGATACTCTATCTGAGAATAATTACCTGCATACACACACACACACACACACACACACACACACACACACACACACATGTGTGTGTGTCTGTGTTGTAAATAAAGTGACTGCTACATTTGAAACCCAAAATAGAAGAAATACACAATATATGAAGGAAAATTTATTAAAAAATAGAACAATAAGTAAAATTGATATTCTTTAATGGAGGAATCATCATCGCAAATTTACAATCTTTCATGAAAACTTTGAATAGCATTTTGATATATTTCATCTGTTATCAATCTTCTCTCTTTTAATGAAATTCTTTATGTCCTGAAGTATTTTGGATTTTTGTAAACACCATTCTTAACGTGGTTGCAAATAAAAACATCCGCAGATGTGATATTAAAGTACCTTTCTGTTCAAATCACCTGTAATATTTCTGTTAGTGATAAATGTCTGTAACCTTTTGCTGATGACAACCCCATCCAGATCCTTACCTTTAGGTTTGAGTAACAATTACCAGTAGTTACTGTACTCCAAAACATTTTTCTTACTGTTTGACTTGTTAATAAAAACATGTTTATATTATCTCGTTTAACCTGTCTGCTATCTGTAAAAAGGCAAAAAAAATGTGTTGTTGACAGGCACATTAAACTTTCTATACCAGAAATATAATAGGATGCATTACTTTCCAAGTGATCCAATTCCAGGCTTGTCCCGGTCGACCCTCGTATTTCCAGGCTTGTCCCGGTCGACCCTCGTATTTCCAGGCTTGTCCCAGGTGCTACCCCCAGATTTCCAGACTTGTACTGGGCATCAGCTCCTGTATTTCCAGACCCCCTCCCCCATATTTCTAGACTTGTCCCAGGCACCCTCCCCCCTATTTCCATTTGTTTCATACCAAATTGGCTGTGATGTAAGCAAGTCAACTTCTTTGGAAATTGCCACAGAGAATAAGTAAAGCTATACAGACATTGGTTGTTTTTATCAAATAACCCTGTGCCGTTATTTCTCTTAGTCTCAAATGATATTAGCATTAAACAGCCTGAGAAAGTATCTCAAGAGCTGATGTAGAATAACTTTGAATTTGTGGTATTGTGAATTATAAACCTTATGAATCTATAACCTCAAAACCTTTTGTTATCAGCTTTTTATTGAACCATACAAATACAATTTGATTTATTTAATGTTGCTCATGCTTCCATTTCAATTGATTTTAATATGATGATCAAATTATAAACTCTAAAGAAGGTACTAAATTGCAGATTCTACCAAGTGCCATTTAGTATCATTTCACACACTCTCATTTCCTTTTACTCTCCAGTCTGATCATCCACAGATGTTGAAATTGATTTGTATTTGTTTTGCAAACATAATATCTGTACTGCATGTCTAACCATCTTTGTATTGATTCAAATGGCTGAGTTTTGAATTCAGGGTTCTCCTCCGAGACTAGTTGCCAACCATGGCTAGAGAATCCAATCTGCTCTATTATTTAACCCATAGCTGGTGGGGAGAAGAGGTGGAGTCATATCTTTTTCAAAAAGATATTTGTACAAAAGTGAATACAATGAGCTCTATCAGAATTTCAACTTGACTTGCCGATTTCTTCTTCTGACCTACTAAACCCTAACCCTACCTGCACATCAGAATATACAGATACTCTAAGTGTGAGTGCCAATTATAAATTAATAATTTACACATTGCACTTGTTCTTTAGCAGTTATCCTATTCCGTCCTTATATAATTTTCTCCTTCTTCTCAGTTTAATTATTTACTCTTGTGTTGAAGATTCCTTTTTTCTTAGTTTAGGTATACTATGAGTGGTTGCTTAGTTTATCTGCTTTTTGAAACTCATTATTTACATGAAGACTAAAATCATTAGAATCACCTTTTCATATTTTTATATTTTACACATAAGCAAATAAAACAAGCTTTCTTTATTCTAAGACTAAAAAAAAAATCTAATGTCCACAAAGTTGTAAATTGTAGTCATAGTAATACAAGTTGTTATTTTTAGTATAGAATTGAAAATTTTAATTACATAAAATGCTTTAGCTTGTTAATTTTCTAATATGGACACTACTGAGTTTAACTTGTTTGCATGTCAAAAATAGATAAGTTTTTTTTTTAATTTTTGTAGATTGGCATTCAATAGATGTTCATTTATAGATTAGCATTCATTAGACCTTCCTCTACCTATAACACTTTTCAAAATCAAAAAAATATTGAATTTTTTTTTATTTTAGAAGTGGAGTCATGCTCACAATATTAAATACAGTGTCAAATCGATCCCTGACTTTTTTTATTATCTACAAATGTTGAAACTGTACCTATGTCATTGATAACTGCATACTACTAATGTTCCTTTTCTCAATTTGGGATTTTTCTCATTTTTTATTTTAATTATTTTAAAATTTGTTTAAATTTTTTTTATTAATATTTATTTTTTATTATTTTGTCTCTTTTCAGAGACACTTGCACAATCAAAGTAGTTCAATAATTATTTATCTTAAATGAAGAACATACAGATATATATTTTGCATTATCTATTTAAATGATTTTATTAACATATCTTTGGTCATGTGAACCTCAATTAAGGATATGCATCACAATGATGATTGTTAAACAATTGCTTGTTTTTTATATTAAAGTAATTTTATTTTTGTTTCACAAAACAATTACTTGTTTAAAAGATTTTATTAAAGTAAATCACATGAAAATGTACATATGTTCTTTATTTAAAATTTAAAGAATAAAAAAAATAACTGGAAAAATTCTAAAAATAAAAAAATGTGGAAAGTTCCAGATTAGGAAAAAGTGCAACAGTCATACAGTTATTTATGATATACAAATTGACATTTGTAAAACAATCAGGGATTGATTGGACATTGGATTTATATTTTGAACAGGACCCCTACACACACACCTCCTAAAATGAAAAAAAAAATTTTTTTTTGATTCTGTCAAATCCTGTGGGTAGAGGAAGGTCTAATGAATAGGTAATCTACAAAAATTTATTTAAAAAATTTTTCTCTATTTTTTAAGGAGCAGACCAGTTAACCTCAGTAGTATGATAGTATATATTTTTGTAGGTTATTTTGTAAGTCATGGTGTGAGGTTTAAATCTGGCTGAGAGCAATGTTTTTAAATAAATAATTTTCTTGTAAGCTTTTTAGCATTTATTTTTTGATAAAAGAAGGTAGTAATGTATGTACTGTTTTTAAAATCGTATCAGTCCCTTTCTAAGTTTTATATTTTTATGCTGAAGAGGAATGTTTAATATTGTCTGCAAATATTCTGTATTATTCAGATTGTTTTCATCTTTGTATTAACACAAAATTTTGGCTGATACATTCTTCAGCTTTCTTCAGGTGTGTATCCAAATCTTTAAAATTTGCTCAAGACGTTTTGTTTAAATCTGATACATATATTTTTTTCAGCCTTCTGCAGATGTATCAGCTGAAATGTTAACATTAATAAAAATGAGAATAAAAGTACAAATAATATATAGAATAAAAATCAGAACTACAAAAAGCCTTACACAATTATGATTATCTTATTCAAAAGAAAATCATTTGTTTTTATAATAAAAAAATTAACTTCTTTATTTTATTGTTTGCAGACAAATTCAGAATGCAATAACTATGTCTTACTCTTGGGAAGACTTCACCCTGGTAAGAGAAGTTTTTTTTTTATTTCACAAATATATTGCTAGTTTGCATGCATTTTATTTTTTTTTTTTTTTTTTTTTTAAGAGGTTGGATAAATTAGAATCATATTTAGTAAATTTCTGACTCAGTTTATGAATGTACTATGTGAAAATGTTATTGTCTAGTCTATTAATTTTGTTTTTCTCTTGGATGTTTCTGATATTAGCAGGGTTTGTACAGGTCCTGGAAACCTTGAAAAATCCTGGAAAATTGACAGGGCCAAAACCTCTTTAAAAATTCCTGGAATTTTCTAAATTGGGCAGCCCACACATCTTTTTCTCAATTCATGAAATTCAAAATGCCAAATCCTAGAAATCTGTCCTTTTTACAAGCTAAAACTTGTTCTTTAAGAAAAATATTTTTTAGTCATCATTAATATTTGGTAATTATTGCGAACAGTGGTTTGTTTCCTTGATTAGAGTAAGTTCATGACCTTGTTGTTACTTCTCTATTTTCTTGTCTTGTTGACAAGAAAGGGAGAAAGAATATGAATGTGTGTCTTCTAGTTGCTACCCTAACTCAACAAGAAAAACAGAAAAGCAAAGACGAAAGGTATCAGAGACACGTCAACATCAATCTGGCAATCTTGTCCCTTTATTTTTGTATTTCTGCATAGATGGCTACAAAATGTACAAACATGTGAACGACTCCTAGACTTTTGGCTAGATGTCATCAAATTTGTGAACTTAATTAAAAAAAAAACAGAAAAATGTCCCTTGGCCAAGTCCTTTTCTGTGGTGCTGTCAAATGTCAATGACATTTTATTTCTAGTGAAACTGCATGTTTTTGTGTCTATTTTGAAAGAAACTGTTTATGATGTAATATTGCAAAACTGTTGCTGCCTTTCTTTACAAATGATCTTTTTAGCATAGGTTCCTCCAACAATTTTTTTTTTTTTTTTTTAAGAAACAGCAGGGCATGATGAAAAAAGAACCCAAACTTAATAAAAACAAAGTTTTATCATCAAAATTAAGCACCTCCACTGAGTTTTTGGTATCTAAGGTTTCAAATAAATTTTTAAAAATGAAAATGCATTATTGAAGCTTTCATTTTAGCTTTAATTGAAAGGTAAATGATTAAGTTTACTATTTTCAGTAATACAAAATACTCTGGTGTATTTCAAATAGAAATTATATTGTTTGGAATCTCAACTTTTTGATCACTTTCACCATTTTTTTGGCTATTTTTGACACATTTGTAAACAAAAGTTAATTCTTGGTTTTAAAAATCTTCCAAAAATAAAATATACTTTTCTGAAACTTTATTTGAGAAATATTAGCTGATTTAAAGTATAATTAATCTGATTTGAAAAATATTATTTACTTTAAGTTTGAAATAACAGAGAAATGGATTTTTAAAACAAATGGTAGTGGTAATTACATACTTATCACTGTTGCTTGACACTCATAGATCACGTGATAAGTGATGATAAAATCTGTCAACACCCTTACTATTGTTCTAAGGAGACTATCTGTTAAAACATAATTTAAGAAAATGACAGATGAGTGCCTTTTTTTTAATATACTTTTTAAGTACTCAGTGTTGGAAAATATTCTCCATAATCTAATTTAAATTTACCACAGTCATCGCTCTTATTTTCTGCTTATGAAATGTATGATCAACCATACTTTCTGTTATGATGTTGATTTGGGGTTAGTAGAGACAAACGCCAAATAACACGTAACAATAAAAAGGGTTTTAATAGGTTGGTGAAAAGGTACAGAAATCGCCTGAGTAGTCAATAACTAGCTCAGCTAAGAACTTCTCTGTCTATCTGTCTTTCCCCCATGTCAACTGACATGCCACTATTTAAAGTCTTTGTTCACAGATGCAGACAAGTTCATCTTCAAGAGGGGTGGTAGGTTTCCGACACAACATTTTCAAAGAGGGCCAAGTTATGTAATAAATTTAAAAAAAAAATGTTGTGGGTAAATGACTTTTATTGAGCTTTTCAATTTTTAATTCGTAAATATAGAATTATATAAGAATATCACCTAACCGGATTGAAGTAATGCAGAATTTTAAATGATTTATAATATTATAAATTATTATAATTAAAATATAAAAAATAAAAACAATTCTTGTAAAAATTCATTATTCATTGAAAAAAAATTGTTTCTTAAGACAACAGTGTCCTTAATAAATCTTATTTATAAAAGCAATTAAAAGTTTTTCTAATTAAATCATGTCATAGCCTTATTGCATTTTTTATTTTAATATTCGGAGCAGTCTTTTCGGAAATGAATAGTAGTTGGGGGGTGTTGAGTTGTTGGGAGTGTTCCCCCCGCGTGTGTGTATTCGAATAAAGACAAACACAGTTGTAGGGATAAATACTGGTATATTTGTAAGAGGTAATTAACAACAGAGTGATTAGTAATAAGGAACGCCGGTTAGTAAGTAACAATAGCAAAAAGTCTACAGTCCAACGGTATGTAATGGTAACCTGATCTCGACTGCTGTTGCTGAACCTGATCCTTCACACAACTTCTCTCTCTAGCACTGACTTATATCGTAGAGGGATAAGTCCATTATCATTCAGAAGGTTGTTTTTTACATTGTTTTTTTACATTGTGTAAAAAAAAAATTTTTTTCAATATTTTATCCTTTTTGGGTCCATTATGAATTGTTGCGTCGCTTTTCGCTTTCTACCAGATCTCGCTGTTTTTGCTCTGCCTGTGGTATTTGTAGATCAAAAGTATCATACAATTCGTATAATTCATCTTCTTGCGGAGTTTCTTCCGATTCTTCGGTACTCATTTTCTTTAGCTGGTTGATGTGCCTTTTTATGTGTAAATTTTTTTCCCTGTACAATATATACCATATTCCCAATCCACTTTTGTATGACTCCTGGTTCCCACAATGTCGAATTATTTTTGTAATTCTTGAAAGAAACTTTTTCATTTATGTGGAATTTTCGCTTAGGAACCATAGTGACTGGTGTGTGTACCTTATTTTCAGGTATCAACTTATCAAATGCAGATCTGATCTTCCTTGCAAACATTAGCTCCGCAGGTGATAGGCTTGATGGGGCAGATTTATTCGGAGTAATGCGGTATACTTGCAGGAATAGCTGTAACGCCTTTCTAGTCGGGGTACCTGTTGCTTTTCTCAGAGCCCTTTTTAACGTATCGATGAACCTTTTGGCTAGTTCGTTGCTGCGTGGGTGATACGGAGGAATCCTCACGTGATCAACTTGGAAATTTTGGCAGAATTCTGCGAATTCTTTGCTCGTGAATTGAGTACCGTTGTCTCTAACCACAGTATCTACCACTCCAAACCTTGCAAATAATTCATGCAATTTATTAATTGTATTTTGAGATGTTGGCCTCTTCATTTGGAAAACTTTGGGCCATTTACTAAAGCTGTCAACTACAACCAAATAATGCCACCCGTCAATTGGACCTGCAAAATCAATATGAATCCTTGACCATGGCCTGTCGGTTTTTGGCCATGCCTTCTATAGAATTTGTGGTGATTTTGATGCCAAAATGCAGCCTTTACATCTGCCGACCATAGACGCGATGTCGTTGTCCATACCTGGCCAGTAGATGTATGCTCTCATGAGGCTCTTCATTCTATTTATGCCTGGGTGACCAGCATGAAAATCTTTTAGTATTCTTTTTGTGGCGTGTGCTAGGGATTACTACCCTTTCACTTTATATTAGTACATTATCGCACAGAGAGAATGTCTCTTGAATTTTTTCGTCTTTACTAGCTAGCATATTTTTTATTTCTATTATATATTTGTCCTTTTCTGCCTCTTTTTTGATGTCCTTAAGTGATACTGGTAATTCTCGAATTGCGTTCGCCAAATTTTCTTCAACCTCGTCCTCTGCTCTGAGGGATGCGATTACCGTATCCTCTAAAGGTTCTGTTGCTTTTGGAATGAGTCTTGATAGACCATCTGCGTGACCAATTTTGTGGGTGGACAAATATTGTATTCTAAAATTATAATTTAACAACATTATCCCCTACCTAAGTAATCTATTTGCGGTGTATGTTGGCAGACTCTTTTTTGAACCGAATATCGTTACCAGAGGCTTGTGGTCTGTCTGTAGCGTGAAATACCATCCATGTATGTTCCTATGGAATTTTGTGAGAGCGAAGATAATTGCCAATGCCTCTTTCTCAATTTGTGAATAGTTTCGTTCAGCAGGTAGTAGCGATCTGCTTGCATGAGCAATTGGTCGAACTTTTACCATCCTTCCACTTGTGCAATATGCACGCACCTCACGTTGTGTGTACTGGCATCGCCGCCACGATGATATCTACCTTTGGATCAAAATGTACCAGAAATAAATCTGATGTCAATTTTTCTTTTATATACTTAAATGCTTGCTCGCATTCTTTTGTCCAAATCCAAGGTTTTTCTTTTTTTAGTAGATCGTTAAGGGGAGCTCGTAGAATGTGGAGGTCTGGGATAAAATCCTGGTAATATGACACTAAGCCTAAAATACTTTGTAGGGATTTAATATCCTTTGGCTCAGGCATATTTTTTATTGCTGATGCTCGAATTTTATCTGGCTTTTTCCCTTCTTTATTCACTATATGTCCCAGATACTTGATCTCCTTCAGGAGAAAATCGCATTTATTTTCTTTCACTCTAAATCCATAGCTTCTTAACCTTTCGAAAACTTTGCGTAAATGGTGTTTGTGTTCATCCACCGATTAACTTTTCACAAGTATATCGTCGAGATATGCTATCGTGTAGTCTAACCCAGATAATATAGTATCCATAATTTTCAGGAATATTGTGGGTGCTGTCTTCACCCCAAACAGTAAACGTTCGTATCTGAACAAGCCATTATGCATGTTGATGCATAGCAACTTTGCGCTTTCGTTATCCATGGGTACTTGCAAGTATGCCTCGCTAAGATCTATTTTCGAAAAGATTTTTCCGCCATTTAACTTTGCGAACACTTCTTCGGGACTTGGTAGTGGATAGTGATACTCTACTATTGTCG